ATCTCATAGTAATATCAATTCCCTACATATTGTTTAGATCAATGATGGATCTGCTCCAGATCAGGATTTCTTTCATAGGTTACCTTTAGTTACGGTTCCCCCAGAGTTATTTCACATTTAGTGGTTTGCATCATGAAACTGCAAAACAGAATCACCAATTATTTAGAATAAAATTTAACTATTCTTAAAAAGATATACATATAGAGTAGAAAAAATATTTTTAAATGGGGGCAGAATTGAAATAGACGGCTTGCAAATGTTACTAAAGAAATCTTTGAACCTATTCACTTGCTGTGTGAGTGATGGTGTAATTTCCTGAATTAGTGCTTGTGTCCTTATTGGTTGCTTCTTTGTAATGCTTGATATTTATATCAAGCATTTTCAAGAACCAGGTGTGATGTATAACTATCTGTAAAAACATTTTTGTCTGTAGACTGACAGCTGGTTACAGAAAGCATTGACCAAATTCTAAAATGCTGTCTATACTATGTATCCTTTGCCTATATATGCTAGTTACTGGCCTTGTTTTTTGTACAGGGGCTGGTGCCTTTCTAAAGTGATCCTGTAGCAGTTCATCACAGGGTCAGTCAGACACACTTGGTGCTGGTTGCCCTCAGGCTTCAGTATGCTTGTACATACTGATGCCTAAGGGCAATTAATAGAGGCAATCTAACGTGACAGCAATCTTTTCTCTTTATATTGTGCAGCTGTATAAAATTCAGGTCACTTCTTTGGCATCTCATTGGAAGCATAATGGTATGGTACCGGTTCTGTAATCATAACCTTGGTATAACCTTTTACTAGCATGGAGCCCAGCTTCATGGACCAAAAGTTAAAAACACAAAAGCTAAAACGGAATAAAACGGATAAAAGACTCTCTTCCTGATTTCTGCTAACACCTTGCTGTCTCTTTAAGAAACAACCTGAATGGAAGCAGACATGTCTCAACATATTGTGACATGTTGAAGAAAATTTACTCTTTTAAAGTAGTTGTTTTAACATGCTTCCTCTGGCTTTGTTAAAACACCTTATTGATGATAAATATTACTGCCACACTGAGTGTCATTTTTAGAAGATTAATTAAAAAAAGGAAACTGCCAATTACTGATCAGAAAATCTGCCATATTAGGTCACAAACTAAATTGATTCATCTATTGTAGAAGCTATTTGTTTAGACAATCTAAAGGCTAAAATGGCCTACAGAACCAATCTGGAGTTACCAAACTTTGAAGAAATGCTGCTGGTTGGGATCAGTGTAAAAGAATATCCGTAGTGCCACCATATGAGCAGTTTGACCTGCCTGACCTGGTGTTCAGTGCTTCAGCATGGCGACTGGCCTCGGCTCTGTCTGCAGCTGCGTGATTATCTCAGAGCGTCTGTCACCCCCTGGTTTGAACCTCCCTCATATCTACACTGTTCTAAACCACTGCAGAACTGGCATGGAATTTTAAGACTCTGCTAAATCAGATGTTGGAGAAAAAACTGGTTCGTAAAGAACATGAGCAAGACACAGAATTCGGCATGAAATGTAAGATGGATGAAAGAGGGAGTCCTTTACTGATGGGTCGAACATTAAATCATTGAAACAGCATTATGGTGAGAAAGGAAAGTGGGATGAAGCGAACGTACAGCCACTTGGTCCAACCCAGGGAGTGGGGAGCTTGTTGCCTTTTGTTGGAGTGACTGAGGCACTCGAGGAGAGTAAATCAGCTCTTTGTTTTTGTGTGCCGCTCCCTTGCATTTCTCCCAGTGTTCACTAATGTAATTAATGGAAAAGAAGCAGGCAATAACATGCCTTAAGATTTAACCGCAGTGAACACCCTAATGCTACTACTTTATTAGAATAAAGCTTACTGCTACCCCTATTTGTTTATCATTTATTCTTTTCTAGTGTGAGCAGACCTTTGAGGATCTTTGTCGAGCCTCTTGGCTGAGGGTCCAAAGTTGCTGTTATTTTGGCTGGGCGACTGTAAGATGAGATTTAAATCTTATTCTCCTCTTCTAGTCTTGGTTAACCATGCTGAAAGTCTGCTCGGCTCCCTTCACCCTTGCTTGCCTAAGATCAGGTTGTGCAGTCATCTCAAGGCCAGCTGTGGTTGAAACCTAGACAGCATTGCTGCTTCAAATACATTTAAAAAGCCTCTCTCACATTCAATGAAGTCACTGTCTGGTCCCTGAAGTCAGTCATGGTGGGGGAGAGGTGAAACTTCATCCACTCCCATGACATCAGAGGAGCCACTTCATTCGAGCCTTGCTCCCCACCATAGCTGACCCAAGTATCTGCAATGTTAAACTAAGCGTAGCTTAACTCTGATGGTGGCTGCTTAGGTCACAAGACTTGCCGTTGTGAAGGCATGCTTTGTTCGACAAGAGAAAATTTTTACAGTGGCTCACAGTCTCCCAAAAATCATAATTTTAGATGTTTCAAGGGAAGTTATGAAGCACGGATGATAATAGAGCCCTCTGTATTTAATAACTGAGCTCAAACAGACACAGCATTTTGCATGTGAGAACCAATCTAGGCCAGATCTAAATTTAAAATGATTCACTACATCATCACGACTTGCAGAGAGACTTGCTTCATGCATGGTAGTAGGCCTTAATATTACAATAATCTTTACCATCCTCTTGGCTTATGTGAATTATTATTTGTTTCCTCTTGGAAAGTAAATCATTTAAATCTCATGTCATTTAGAAAGCTTTTAGCTCTAAAGTCTGCATAAGAAAACAATTGTCTTTTGTTTCAATAAGAGAATTAGTAGATGTCCGGTTTGGATGAGATTTAAATAATGAAAATCTGTCTAGAATTATTAGCTTTTTTTTGTTTGTTTTTGGTGGGTATATTTGGGTAATTATGTTCTGTACCTTCTGGAAAAAAGGTATAGTGCAAGAGGTGCTGTTATACTACAATCCTCTTTGTCACATTATTTCATAATGTAGGCCTACTGCAATTTTAACTCTGATGTTCATTCTGTTTTTGTTCCAGGTCAACAGAACATCTGCCCAGCTAGTTCTCAGCTTTGATGCAGAACAGGTATGCCTATTAAGCTTCAGTTACTCTTTTAAGGTTGGTAGATACTTATCTACTAGCAATAAATATTTTTGTTATTGCTGATAATGATTAGAATATTGTAGCAAGGGCTCTTACTAGGGATGAACAAATATGCCAAAAATCTAAATTGTGTTTATTTTCAATCAGTATTGTGATTAAGATTTCCCTTTGCACTAAGCAAATGCATGTTGATAATTTACTGCAGGCTTTCAGTTTTTTCATGACCTTGAACGCTTGCTTAACCAGAGTGCAGTGTTTCAGGACATTACTGTAACATTTGCATAAAAAAGTTCTTATCTTTCCTGTAATGCATAGATCTAGGTGCTAGCTACAACTCTCTCGTCCCTCCTGTGCGACAGCCTCCCCTACTTTAATTGTATTACCGCCACCTAAAGGGCTGGAGGGAGACCTGTAGTGACTTACTCTTGTTAAATGTATTGCCAATAAAAAACGAGTGCCTCTGTGATTTAAAAATGGGATATTTCTAAATTGCAGTTATATTGCTAATACAGTTAATTGTCCAGCCATAGTTCCTACAGTTACCTTCCATCCCCTTTTTTGGCCTTTATAATGTTCTTTCCTTTCCTCCTCATATTCTCCTTTTGTCCTTTCTTAGCCTTTTCTCATTCCTCCCTCCCCAATTCTTCCCTTCCTTTACCCTCCCTCCTTACCTTCCGAACCTCCCTTCCTATCAGTTCCTAATTCCCTTCCCTGTGCTGTACTCATCTCCTTTCTTTTAGCCTTCATTCCTCTCCTTCCTCATGAATTGGGAATTTCTTAAAAACAAAGGTCCGTAATATTAAAATAGAAAATGCATAGAAACCTTTTGAGCTCTTGAATCTTAGGCATATGCTTATATTTGGTTCCAGGCGGAAACTTCATTAGGGTCAGTAGCATGTATATGCAGTAGAATAAAATAAACTAGATTTTAAATTGTTTATATTAGGATTATGTTTGTGAAGCACTTCTTTACTTGTGATTTTCCAAATCCCATTAATCATTTTTTTTGGGGGGGATTAGCAGATATTCTGTCTTAATATGAATTTCGTTATTGTTAATAGTTAGTGTTTCAGCTGCTCTCTTCACAGCTCCTCTGGGACAGCTGGGGATATCTGAGCACAGCAGAACAGATCATATGACACACAGACTGGATGCAGCAGTCTTTATTTCATAATCCATGCTCTCAGTAAGGTTAAAGATGAAATTGTCAGGGAAAGTCTATATTTCTCTTATCAGTAACATTATGTGGGCAGATTAAAATACAGCTGCACAAAACAAACACACAATGAACTCTTGTAAATTATTCAGATCGGAATCGACTTCATTAACTCGGTTTGAATGCACAAAGCATGAATTTGACTTCAGTCGACATTAAACCAAACATTAAGGATAAGGAGCAGCATGTACACGTGTCTGTGTGAGAATATGTGTGTTTGTGTGTACTAAACATCTATTTTTTTTTTTTTTTTTCAAAAGAAGGAAGGCAGATTGTGATTAGCCTTGCAAAAGTCAACCTGTATTGGGAAAATGACTGATAATGTTGATCAAGAATGCAGTAACATGACTTGCTATATTTAATCAAATACTTCCGTGTTAATCAGGTTAAAATTGTTTCATTGCAGACATGCAAAATGTATCTTTTTGACTACAGTCTTCCTTATAATTTACTTAACAAAACCCTTTTTAGGCCAAAAAGTGACAGAAAATATATATTAGTTGCATAGAGGGCCTGAATGTGTAATACTTGGATTAATATTTTAATTACATTATGAGTTCTTTTTGACAGTATTAATCTTGCAATTGATGATATTCCAACAAAGATTTTGATGCCTCTTGCCTCTCTGCATCAGTCCCCCCAGGTCAAGATGACTGAAGAGGTGATTGTCATCGCCAAGTTTGACTACATGGCTCAACAGGACCAGGAGCTAGACATCAAGAAAAACGAGCGCCTCTGGCTACTCGACGACTCCAAATCCTGGTGGAGGGTCCGCAATGCCACCAACAAAACCGGCTTTGTCCCGTCCAACTATGTGGAGAGGAAAAACAGCGCCAGGAAGGCCTCCATTGTCAAGAACCTGAAAGACACGCTCGGTAAATGAAATTAATTCTTGTGATTAAGCTTAAAGGGGCTCGTCCTCCACATGCAGATTTATTTTTTTGCATTCGCTGAGTCAAAGTTGCAGCAAAGGCCTTATCTAGGCCGACTTTCATTAATTTTTTCAACTTAGATAATCACAGGTCTGTTTTTAAACTATGTAGTTCCCAGCTGCAGACATCAATGCCAAGGTTATATGTTGCCTGTGCTCAATTCTTTTTCAAGAAGCAGTGCCAAATACCCTGGTAATAGGTGTGCCATGTGTAATTTCTTTTTTGTATAGTGTAATTTAGTATTTTTTTCTGCATTGGACCTTTATAAAAGACATGATAAAGCAGTTGTTTTAATTGGTGTACTTTAATATGGTTGCAGAGCTAAGTTCTTATTATAATCTGTTAGTCTTTAGGTATTTTGTCACTGTTGCAACCTTCTCAAGCAAACAAGTTTGTTTTGTGGGACTGTTTCTTTACCGCATCATTCCCAGTGCAGGAACCAGAGCCATATCATATAAGTAGGGAAGAAGTCTATCCCTAAAATATGCCCCTGGCATGATGGTTGAATCTTTTCTGCATATTGCATATTCTGTTGCAGTATTAATGTGTAATAATAACTGAACTTTATTGATCTCACACTGGAGAAATCTACCCCTGCATTTAACCCATCCCCTTGGGGAGCAGTGGGCTGCCATTGTGCGGTGCCCGGGGAGCAGTGTGGGGTTAAGTGTTTTGCTCAGAGACCCAGTGTGCAGCCTGTGGGAATCAAACCGGATACTTTCAACCTCCTCAGAGGACAGGCGCACTGCTCTAACCCCTTAGGCCAACACTCCCCCGTAAAATAATCTTTACAAATGACTCCTCTAATACAGTATTAAGGTAGTATGTTGTATTTTAAAGTTCCATACATAACATTTCTACATGCCAATGATACTCCCTGAGAGTTGGGTACACTTAAACTGCCCTGGGGAAGGTTTTGTCAAATTTAGAAGAGGATGACTTGACCTGGAGCTGACCTTAGCTGAACATATTACAGCACAGTTGTCCTGGTTTATTCTTTTGAGCTGTCATCCTGTGTCTGTCACGCAGGATGTAGAAATGTTGACAACTTTCTGGAAATCTTAGTCTTAGTGAGCGTCTACCTTTTTTTTTTTTGTTTAGGTTTATGTTTCACATTGGCAACTGGGTCAGCTGTTCTCATACCTATTGTTGACTGTTGTTCTGTTGGAATAATATCACTTGTTCAAGCCTTATCCAACATTCCACTGAGGCTGGATAATAATCAGATATCAAGCCTAGAGGAGGGGGAGCTTTGGCATGAGGGAGGGAAAGAGAGATGTATCTTAACACGATAATTAGGAAAGAAAAGCTGGTAAATACCTGCTTGTAGTTCCAATATATTTTTTAAAGCTCTGCATGAGTGGTTATACTAATCAATTGTATTGGTATGATTCTCTTCTCATAAAAAAGAGGCAATGACAGAGAAACTGTGAAATATATGGAGGGAGAGATAATCACCCACTTATTTGGATATATAGTCTGAAGTCTTGAAGCTCCAAATAAAGATTATTTTTTATTATCATATTATTTTTACTATTATATTGAGTATTCCTAAAATTTTATTTTGGAAGAGTTTTGTAGAAATGGAAACATTTTTCATAAGTTTGCACAGGCATCTATTTGGGTTTTTCTAAATTTTTTTTTATATTGTTTATACAGGCAATACAAACAAAACTGAGAAGTATATTGAGATGCAACTTCAATCCATATCGTCCAGCCTTACATGCCACTCTACAAGAATCAGTATATCGGCTCAGTATAGGTTTTGGTCAATTTAAATAACTGGTGTGTCTTTGTATCAGAAGTGAAAAGTTGTACGTTGGGAGATCCCTAATTATTACTGCCATTTTCATTAGTCATATTTCAGGAGTATAGATCCTGGGCTAAATTATATATATTATACACGGCCCTTTAACTTCAAATTACCCGCTGCAGGTTTAGAAATCGCACATGGCCTGTGCGATGGGATCCATAAAAGGAGAGTTTTTTTGTTGTGTTATTAACACGGAGCCATTAATCTATGCTATCAGGCATTGTCGCTTTTACTGTAATAAGACATCCACTAACTCATAAAACACTAAGAACAAATTTGACTTCAGGACTTTTGCTCTTGTTGATGTGATGAAGCAGTTTTGCTTTTATAGGAGGATCATTCAGAGTGAATGATGGCTCTAAAGTAGTTTTTCCATGAACAAAAGATAAAGGAAGAAAAAAAAGGGTCCTTATGTAATTTTTATAACTATCTCGCACTCACCAGTGTTTGCAAAACACTTATCTGTGGGAAATGTGAATTGTGACTTCCCTTTTGCTCTTGTTAGTGTCTGAGTGCATGCACTACAGCTATAGTGTGATATTTTGAAACGTTGAGTAAAAGAGAAATTGTTACTTTTATATCCCAAAACTAATGACTTAAGCAGGGATATTCCTTGACTGCTCTATAAACTTTAAGTCGTCTGTCCCGCATATGTTGCCCTAAGGATCTGGCTTTATACGCCATTATTTTCGCCGTGTAGGGTTTTTGTGTGCTAGTGGGAGATTATGTTGCTGTAAACAAAAGCTGAAGGCCTCTCAACAACAACCCAGCTGTCACTGTATCAGATCATCAAATTATTTAAGAACAGCTGCGTGACTGTCACAAACACAACTCACGCCTAACTTACTGTATACTCTAAATGAAACATGAGTCGAAGGTGTAGCAGTCTGTGTAAAAATTTAACACAGTCCTAGAAGGACCTGTTCTACAGCGTCTTGCAAAAGCATTTGCAAGCCAGATTAATCATGTGTAGCATTCTGTTTTACTTTTACACATGATTAATCTGGGACTCCTTCAATTGAATCTGTTCAGGGAAAGAATGGACATCCAGGGGATCTTCTCTTCAGTTGGATGAAGCAACAACTAGTGCCTGCTTTCCCATGTTTGGTTTTTGCCAATCACGGATACAGATGCCACGTGAACCCGCAACTTCCACTTATACATTCTTGATGTTCCTCTTTCTAAGATAGAATCATCAATTTGCACAAAGTTGATGTAATGGCAACATCTACATGAAATCTGTTTTCAGGGGGCAAAAGACCTTAGATAAATACTACTTTTTGCCCAAAAGAGTGAATATTCTGTTAATTGTTTTGTACTACATTCCATTTTATTTGCTAAATTCTGTGATTCCGTCCACGTTTTCTGCATCGCAGAAATGGTTTAGCCCTGTACGTGTACATCCTCCTGGGCTGCCATTATTATTTTTATTACCTTATTATTACACAGCTTCATATACCACCTTCAACCGTGAAGCTAGATTTATACTTGCCGCATTGAACCAGACCCAAAGGAGTGTGCACCAAAGGTCACGCTATCAGAGTGCGCACCTTGGTTGTGCTCCTCTAAAATGTTTGTAACTCGGCGCCGACCGTAGGCGCCAGCTCCATTGCAAGTAGGTGGATTCGAAGCTGCCCTCCCTGTATTGATATCAGAGTTTGCTTTTGTTAAACGCTGTAGCGTTGCGGTTTATTCTATGTCTGAATCAATACAAAAATATTTACAAAAATAAAGCTATAATATTCTTTTCAATACAGCGATCTACCATTTTGTAAATGGCACGTCAATATATCGCTAGAATTCAGTTTACATGCCTCATTTTTCAGCGGGTTTTTTCTGTTTCTTCCACTTAACATATTTAAGCTACTTTGTGTGACACTATTGCATAAAATCCTTACAGTTTATTAGCTGTTTTTAGTTGTTCTGAAAAAAAAAAAGTGAAAGGATTATGCACACGTTTTTCCAGGTATTGTATAATCTATGGTTTAGTAATGCTGCTTTCCTAATCTGTACAGTGGGCAGTTTGCTCCTTCTTGTTAATATATGTGGGCGAGCGAGAGAAGCAGCTTTGGGCTCACACTCTAATATGTTGTGTGGGAGGAACCGTTTATCTTTTTGTTGCTGGGTGTGAGCTTGCCTCATCTGCCTGCAAAGGGCTGTCTAACTGTTTGGGAGTGTTTCAGTGTTTAAGGGATCTTTCTCCCTGGGTCTGTTATAAAGATGCAAGTGTGTCTCAAACAGCTTTTGTAATGGACATGAGGATTCAGTCACTTAAACTGATGCCAGGGATTCCTGCTTTTTTTTAAGTTATTTTAACCAACTCTTGTTTCTCAGCTGGAAAATAGCTTCTTAGTTAGCATCTAGATCTTTTCTTTCTGTGTCTAAGCCCCCCCCCCCACACACACTCCCTCCTATTCCCCATTCTTCCTTACTACTTCACTCCATGAGGCCACTTGCACTCTTCCTTTCCAGAGCTGATCTGGGGCCTCTGTAACCTGCCCTCATTGGCTAACCCCTGATCACATGGTCAGTAAGTGGGCCGCCCTTGTCTACAGTCCGCCCAGCTCTCAGGGTGTTCACATGGAATAACTTCACAGCTGCAGTGGGAAGAGAGCAGGGGCTGGGAAAACGACGGAGAGAAGGGGGAGAGCCAGCGAGCCCAAAATGGACATGGCTAACCTATTCAAACATTTCTTTCGTGAGTTTAAATCTTTTCTAGCCTTCAGTGTCTCCAGGAATTTTTTTTCTGGCTTTGTTTGGCTTTTGATCACTTTAAAATCTTTTTTCTCTGAACTTTAAGTAGTTGTGTGTCTTTTAACTCTACAAGAAAAGCTGTCAAGGCTCTTAAAGATGTTTTGCTTTGGCTAAAGAACTGCTCTAAGCTTACCCACAGAAAGTTAAAGATTTGAGCAATCGGGTAAAGATTTGAGTGTGAACCGGTTTGGTCTGACAAAGAGAGGTTGTCTCAGTCTGTGTGAGCGGCTGGGTGGCTTTGCTTTTGAAAGCCCTCTGCTGAGCTGAAGCCTGTAATTGCCCCGGCAATCCTTCTTTCTTTGAAAGGCACACTTAGGCAGAAATCTTGCTTCATTGTTTTCTTCTTGCGTTTTAGCTAACTGAGGTCGGATACAAC